TCTAAATACCAACAGAGAGGGAAAGAGTCTTCAAATCAAGTATCAATGCTATCCGCTCTGTACACAGGGTAGATAGGAACACGCAACTTAGACAAGGAAAATTGAAGAAAAAGAATGAACATGATACTTTGAACAAACTCTTCGGCAATCACTGGAGACAGAACCTTTTCTTTCCTGTGCACTCTTTACAGCAATAAACACAATTAGGTCACTGCAAATAACTGCAGATGACCTTAGAAGGCAGCAGGCTTCATGAATCAAGCTGGAACCAGCCTGATGTAGCAGGAAGCCATCAACAAAACACAGTGGTTTTTGAAAAGTATGGTGATGACAATCAGAAAAGATTAACATCACATCTTTCCCAGAATTTAATACCACTCTAGTAGCATTCTCTCAGTAAGCGTTTCTTTCTCATTAGAGTTGCTTCCCCATGCAAATCATGGAACAAGAAACAACCATGGCTGTCAAAAAAATCATGATGGAAATGTTCTGGGATTAAAAAGTGGTGGTGGTTATACAACTTAGAAAATGTACTACAAAATCACTGAACTGTATATTTTGAAAGGGTGAATTTTATGGTCTGTGAAGTATGTCTCCATAAAGCTGTATTGTTGTTTTATTTTTTCCTTTTAATGAATTCTTCATTTAAAGCGCCATTCCAGCATTCCAACAAAGCTCTTTTTCCTTCTTACTACAATCATCAAAGCGCCTAAAAATCAGAAACTATCTTTGCTCAAAATATAGAGCACCATAAACAAGCACCTCATAAAATCTGCCAATTTTCTCACCGCTCCTAACAAAATCAGTAGGGGAAGGGTTGGAAGTACATGTTGAGTTGAAGATCTCCATGTGTCTTGACAGTCAACTTTCAAGTGCTAAAGTACATCGGTGAAAAAGCAGGTTTGCAGTTACTTTTGAAAAACCTCCATTTATCTGATACGGACCCTCCCCCCCACTTACTTAAATTATTAGAAATTATTCCTATTGTTCTTAAAAATCTAAAAGCATTTCCCTTGTTGCTGCTGTTGGTGTTAGGTGCCATACAGTTGGTCCGAACTCATAGTGACCTTAGGCACAGCAAAATGGAATACTGCCCGGTCCTGCACCAACCTCACCATCCTTGCTACACCTGAGTCCACTGCTGCTGCTGTGTGCCAATCCGTTTCATTACGGTTCTTCCACTTCTACGCTGACCCTCCAACTTTACCAAATATGCTGTCCTTCTCCAAGGACTGGTTCTTCCTAATAATATGTTTGACATGAGAGACAAAGTCTGGCCATCCTGGCTTCTATGAAGCATTCTAGCTTCACTTCTTCCGACACAAATTTGTATGTTCTTTTGGCAGTCCGTGGTAGTTTTAATATTTTCTTACAACACCATAACTCAAATTCATCAATTCTTCTCCAGTCTTCCTTATTTAGTGTCCAACTTTCACATGATATGTGGCTACTAAAATACCATGGCTTGGATCAGGCACACCTGAGTCCTCAAACTGACATCTTTGCTCTTGAACACTTTAAAGTGGTCCTGTGTAGCAGATTTGCCTAATGCAGTATGTCACTTGATTTCTTGACTGCTGTTTCCATGACTGTTGATGACTGATCCAAACAAAATGAAGTCTTTAACAACTTTAATCTTGTCTCCAGCTTTCTTGATGTTCTTTATTGGTCCAGTGATAAGGATTTTTGTTTCTTTACATTGGGGTGCAACCCATACCAAAGGCTGTGGTCTTCCATCTTCATCAGTAAGTGTTTCAAGTCCTCTTGCTGTCAGCAAGCAGAGTTGTATCATTTGCATATCGCTGGTTATTAATGAGTCTTCCTCCAATCCTGATACCATGTTCTTCTTCATATAATTCAGATTCTCGGATTATTTGCTTAGCATACAAACCGAATTAACTATGGTGAAAAAATACAACCCTGACCCACACCTTCCCTAATTTTAAACTGTTCAGTGTCCATATATTCTGTTCGAGAAGCTGTGTCTTGGTCTATGTACAGGTTCCTCATGAGGAACATTCAACAGCATCAGATATTAAAAGAGAATCTAATCAACTAAAAAGGAGGCAACTATATATCTATATATCAAGAAAGACATACAATTCCACTCCAAGGTATATGCCCAAATATGTATTTCTATAAAATTATATAATTATAAGACTTGAAAGCAGGGACAAACCCATACTTGTACACTTGTTCAATGCAGCATTATTCACAATAGCCAAATGGTGGAAATAACCCAGGTGTTGTCGGTAAATGGATAAACCAAATACTGTAGTCCATCCATGAAAGTTGTGATACATACTAATACAAGCTACGATACAGATGAGCCTTGAAAACATTATGCTGAGTGAAATAAGTCAGACACAAGGGACAAATATTATATGATCCAACTTAATTGAAGGATCAAGAATACAGACCACAGTTTATTAATAGTTTCTGAGACCAGGCATGAGAGGGGAAAAGGAAGACTCAGTGCTTAGCAGACACTGAGCTTCTGATACTGGTGATGAAAACAGTAGGGATGGATAAGGGTGATGGTTGAACAACATGAACAATTACATATGTCACTGACACAATAAGAATGTTGAAATAGTCAAATATGTACTACAATACAATAGTTAGAAATTGAAAGAAGGGAGAGAGGTTGGTTAAGAAAGAAGACTCATGAAACTTCTAGGGCCCAAGTAGTAGATTCCCATTTCTTGCCTTAGTGGAAAGGAAAATGGGCTTAACTGAGGACCAACTCTTGAGCACAAACCTGTTCTTCTTCTGTAAAGGGTACAAGAGCCAACGGCGGCAGGGGCTCCTCCTGGAGGATAGGCAGAAATTCTTTATCCAGAAGGTCTGAAGGTATCTGTATGGCCAAACACATGAATGACATGCCATGAGATTGATATGTTAAAGCCAAGAAAAAACATTCTTAAAAGTACCTACTGCTGGTTATTACAGATACAGGTTAAAGCTCATTTACCCTCCTTTATTTCTGTAACATTTACATACTTTGAGAGCCCCCTGTCAGCTTTCTATCAGAACTGGACTTCTGGGTTTGACAGAGAGCACAGTGAAGTATTATAAACTCAAAGCAGGAGGTGGTAGAAATTATATCTGCCCTTAGCAATCTAATTAAAACTTGAGGCTCTCAACTATTAATAAAATTAAAAACAAAGTATAGGCAGGCAGTCCATGGGTTACAAACGAGGCTCATTCCTGTGTTTTTAAGTATTTGTAGGTCCATCGGAATAGGTACAGATGGTTCTTACTTACCTTATTTTAATGTAAGAAAGGAACCCTGGTGAACTGAACCCACCAGCTATCCCATGGGAGAAGGAGGAGGCTATCTGCTCCTATAAAGGTTTATAGCCTCAGAAACCCTATACAGGGTCACTATGAGTTGGAACAACAACAACAAAGCAGGGCTTTGAGATGTCAGTGCCCCACTCAAAGATGGCGGCCAACTACGCCACTTTGAACAAGTATAGCTCTCCATGGTCCTGGCAATAATCCAATCTCCCACATCAGGCTCCTGAAAGAGCTCACTGCACCTCTTCTGAGTTTCCCATTCCAGTAATTCTTCCTGTTTTGGTTACTGTGATCAATCACCCAAATTATAAAATGACCGGTCTGTTCCTGTTTCACTCTGTCAGCCATGACAGAACTGGTAAGAGGCACTACGCTCAAGTGCCAGTCAGGGGTTTCCATAAATCAGACATTCATCATCTGGGGACTGTCTAAACATTCAACAATGTAGAAAATATTCTTTCTCACTTTGTTATTTTTAAGTGCCGTCAAGTCAGTTCTGACCCATAGTGACCCTTTATAGGGTTTCCAAGGAGCAGCTGGTGCTTGAACCTATGCAGTCCAGTGCATTAACCCACAGCGCCACACCAGGACTCCTATTTTTCAGTGGTCAGATACTAAAGACTACTTTAAATTGCATTGTGATTACTTATAAGTAACAGAAATGCGGCATTACATGGTTAAGATTCTCTTGCTCCATTAAGAATGTGCTATATAACTCAAGGGAAACAACAGAGAAGCTGCCTTTTTCCTGGCTCCCCATGTCCCACTGGAACAAAGGCTAAGAGGTGCAATAAAGAGATGGGAGCACACCTCCATTCCTCCACCTGGAATCATCCTACTGAGATAGAAATAAACACAAAAAAAAAAAGGGGTTAAAAGGAAATGAGTTAGAAAAGATACTGTGTTTACTATAGGGACTGTCTGAAGAGAGCCCTGGTAGTGCTGTGGGATAAGCATTGGGCTGCTAACTGGAAGGTCAGAGTTTGAATCTACTACTCATTCCACAGGAAAAAGATGAGGTAGCCTGTTTCCATACAGATTTTTCTGCCCTATTGGGCGGCGAAGTGTCAAAATCAACTCGATGGCAATGAGTCGGGGTTTTGTACTAGGAGTTCCTATCTTAGCTATGTCTTCTCTTAATAGTGTTACCCTTGAAAAAGCCTGCTAACTATGTCAGGTTTCAAGGCCTAAAAAAAGGTAAGGTGGAGAAAAAAAGTATGAATGTATCAATAATAGCAAACCTACTGACATCCACTCCATTCCGACTTACAACGACCCTGTGTAGAGTTTGCAAGGTTGGAAATCTTAACTGGGACAAAAAAGCCTCATCTTTCTCCAGTGAAGCATCTAGTGAGTTACAACTATCAACCTTGTGGCTGGCAGTCCAATGCTTAAACAACAAAGCCACTAGGGCTCCTTATTATATCAACAGAATATATCATTTTAAATATAATAATATGTCACTGTCCATCACAGTGTTTGGAAGTTAGGTGTCATAAAGCCAGTCCCCAGTTCATGACAATTTCATACATAACACAGTAAGCCACTGCATGGTCCTACACCATTCCCATGATCAGTTACCACTGTGATTTATAACATTTTATCTGGTCAGTTTTCAGTCAATCACCAGGCCTTTCTTCTTATTCAATTAAATCTGGGAGCTCCACTGATACTTGTTAAGCAACATACCAACACACAAGTTTCCACAAGGAAGGTATGCTGGCTGGACAAGAGACACACTGGCTGGGAATCAAACCCAGGGCTACTGCATGGAAGGTGATAATGCTAATACTGTCCAACATGATCCATACCCCAAATTCTCATGAACAATTCTGGCCCTAGTCTCCTATTTTCTTACCTTGTTGTCTTTAAGGAAAAGTGCTAGCATTTCTTCTCTGCCGTAACGGTAATCTGCTAATTTATATTTCGGCAATGCTGGGGAGAGAGGCGGGGACGTAATACTTCCACCACTGGACAGAGCTCGGAGCCTGGAAGAGAGACCCAGAATGTAAGCAGGAAGTGTCAAGTACCCTGGCCCTGTGGACTATTTTATGTCATATATGATCAAACATTCTCATTTTGGTTCTTTAGAAGAAAAGAAACGAACTCTGTGACCTTAAGAGCCTTCCACTAGAAGACAGTTTAATCTGGAGTCAGAGAGCACTGAAGACAATGGCCAGTGAGAAACTGGACACCTCAAGTCTGCTAACCCTAAAGGCTCCTAAGGCCTGACTCTGGTACATGTGGATGGTGGAGGAGAGAGGGGGTATTTATAAAAGTAACAACACTTGTCAATTCACGTAAGGGATCTGAAAGAATGAAAACCCTCAAGTAGTGCCTGTGGGATTATAAATTGAAATAACATCTTCAACAGAAGATCAGGGAGAACAAACAAGATGGCAGATTGGGTAGACGTGCAGTGAGGAACTCCATCAGCAACAACACAGAATATTGGACCAAGCAGGCTCAGGAGATGATGCCAGAACTCTGAACCACATAGAAAGGAATATTTAGAAGGTTGGAAGGCTAAAAGCTAAGGGAATTTGTAGCAGAAGCAAGAATACCACTGCTTTCTAATTCAAGACGCTCAGCTGCTTCCGGAGCCACTATTTTGGGCAAGACCAGGCAAGGGAAGGATCAGAGCAGCCACGGATGCCTGACAGAATGAAGAAGATAAAGGTGTGGACATTCTTTTTTTTTTTTTTTTCTTGGTATCTGTTCACTGGTCTCTTGCTGTCTGCGTACCTCCATTCTGGTGATTAGAGGGGGTGCCTGAGATAGTGGACACCCCAACCCCACCAACAGAGGATTCTACTACATGTGCGCACAGATCTGCTCAAAATTTAAAGTGACAGTTTCCACTTAAAACAAAACAGCCACAGCTGGCCCTGAACTGTTTTATCACTAGGAAAAAAGCCTAAAGGGGGGTGTGGAACGGGACAGCCAGACTCAAAAGGAAATAGGCTGAAAATTAAATCCTGAGTTACATCACAACAACCAACAGTGGCATCTTGAAATTTCTCAGGAAGAAGAGTGAAAAGGGAACCCCATCTCCGGATCACATCTACCTGGAGGCAATCAGAAAGCATAAAAAAAATACCAAAATGCACACCCATCTAAGGCCATATATAACTCCTGAATATGCCCAAAAAACAGAAGCAGATGACCATATCAGCACATGTCCAAAAACGAGATAAAGTGACTGAGACAAATGAGCTGGAAGTAGACCTACACTCTATACTGGAAGACAGGCGGGCTTTGGAAACGCCTGAGAAGGAATTCAGAAAAATGATTATAAAATGTTATCAGAACACTTTACAGTGGAGTTGAGAAAAATAAGGAAGAAGTCAGGAAAGCACTATAGGAATAATCAAATAAAATAGATACAGCATTGAAAACAATTCAAAACCTACAGAAAGAAGTCCAAATGATTAATAATAGAAGAACACAAATGGACAATACACTGAAAGGGCAAAGGAGTAGAACCGAAGAGACAGACGCCAAACCTAGTGAGCCAGAAGATAAATCTCGCAACACTACTTGATAGACCAGCAAACACAAAGAAGGATTTTAAAAATCTGAAGAAGGGCTAAGAGTCATGTTGGACAACATAAAAAGGAATAACTTAAGACTTATTGGCATTCTGGAACAGGAAGAATCACACAAGTCCACAGAGGAGACAGTTGAAGAGCTTCTGGAAGAAAATTTTCCTAACATCCTGAAAAGCTAAAAGATAAGCATTCAAGAAGATCACCGAACCCCAGGAAGGAGAGACCCTAAAAGACAATCACCAAGACCTATAATAATCAAGCTCTCCAAAATCAAAGATAAGGAGAGAATCCTGAAAGCAGCTAGGGAAAAGAGAAGTGTAACATACAAAGGCAAGCAAATCAGATTAAGTTCGGATCTCTCAACAGAAACCATGCAGGCAAGAAGGCAATGGGGGAAACATATACAAAACTCTGAGAAAAAAAACACTGCCACCTAAGAATCCTCTACCCAGCAAAACTGTGAATCAAATACAATGGTGTAATCAAAACATTCCAGGATAAGCAGAAGCTAAGGGATTTTGCCAAAGCCAAACCTGCTGTGAAAAACATCCTAAAGGAAGTTCTGTAGACTGAGAACCAACAAGAACAGACAAAAACCAGAGAATGGTACGTGGTAGCATCACCCTGAACTCAATCGACAAATGGAAGAATCAAGAACAGAGGATCTAGGAGGTCAGTCTATGATCAAAACAATTACAATGTGAAAAAGGGTAAACAAAAAGGAACAGAGATCAAGGTGGTGGGAAGGTCAGGTAGATTACAGGATAAAACAGACTGTCTTAAATGGAGGGAATAATTAAAGGAATATGATATGGTAACCACAACAATGGGGTTGGGTGGGGGTTTAGTTCAGGTGTTGGGGAGGGCAATTACAAGAAGGGGGAGGAGGCAGAAAAACAAGATAGGGGAGCACTGAGATAGGTTTGCATTGCCTAAGTAGGACAGAGGTAAATAGTGATGCAACACTCAACCTTGGAACAACAGGGCTCTGGGATACAGGGATCTAGGTATAACTTGAAGAGGGGAAATAATACTAAAATATTTGACTGTATTATGAATATTAGTTTCCCTTTCCTACTATTGTAAAATAGACGAGTGGGATAGAAAGGAACGTTGAGAAACATGAATAGAGAAAACTTGTAAGCCCGTCTTCAGCCTATAACTGATTGGAATACCTAAAAGGGGTTCTAGAACTTGCCCAGTGAAATAGGCTCCGTGAAAGCCTTTAAAGAGTATAGGACCTTAGGTGGAATCCTGAGTCCCATCCAGAACCTTATTAGGTGAGACATACCCACTAGAAAGGACAAGCAGACCAGCCTCGAACAGCTACAGTGACAGAAGCTACACCTTCAAGGAAAGATCATCAGGAAAAACCCAAATAAAAAATGTCAGCATGACTGGCTACTACAAGAAAAAGCAAGCTGTTCACCAGGAAGACAATCAAGTTCCTTCAAGACAAAGTCCCCTCTAAGACTGAAACTCAACGGAAACACTAACAAGCATGTAAGCTTGCTGGCCACCACACTGGTCTGGATGGTGAGTGGAAGACGGGGAAAGACAGCAATGAAGAAATGGGCTGAGTCCAACCACAGTCCACTGACTCCGGTTGATCTGGAGATGAGAGAGAAGAGGAAGGGCTGGTTGGTCCAAAGTGTGGTGAGAGCTGGGGACATTTGTGCCCATGGACAAGGACATAGCAACAGAGGGCTAGAGCTGAGAGGGAAGCATCCAGCTGTTATGAAGTGAGGGGAGATGCACAAGAACACCCAAACTTGCAGA